AGATAGGCTGGGTAGGGTCAGGCCCGGACACCTGTGGGGTCTGACCCATAGCGGGGAGACAGGGCTGGGTACATCGAGAGGAGCTGCCTGTGGATCAGGGATGGGGAGAGGGTGTGGATGCGGGGTGGCTTTGGTTACATCTCTAACATTTTCTTTCTTATAAAAAATCAAGAAAAGGGGGAGAGCGGAAGCAAACAAGGCAAAATGTTAACATCTGTTAAATCTGTTGGTGGGCACATGGGTATCTGTTACATTATTTTCTGTACTTTTCAGAATGTTTAAAATACTGCATAATAAAAATATTTTAAATTCAACCGTAAGGAGCAAGACAGGGGTCCAACCATGGTAGCATGTGCCCAGAGCTGCTGCTTGGCAGGCTGGGGTCACAAGGGAGGCCTGCATTCAATTCTGGCCTACTCTTTTATTTTTTAATTTTTATTATTATTATTATTTTTTGGAGAGGTTTTTGTTACAGGGCACGTGCGCTCGCCAGACAGAGAGACAGAAAGTGAGAAATCACCCCCCAGGGGGGATGGTCACGCTGTAATCCCTTCTCCTCCATTCTCCTCTTGGGATCTTGGGCACGCATGCACACGTGCCCGGCATGAGTTTAAGCCACTGGGTCCGGGACTCGAACCGCGGTCGACTACATGGGAGTCCAGCGACATAGCCATTATGCTAACTGCTGGTCCCCCAATTCTGGCCCACTCTTAAAGGCCAGGCACAGTGGTGCGTGCCTGCAACCTCGGCTAGTTAAGATGCTGCAACACAGTGAGACCCTGTCTAAAATACTGTGTGTGCACATGCATGCGCATGTACATGCATACACACAACACTAAGAACAGAAGAGTTTTGTGCATCAGAAAGAAGAAATTACCCTGGAGACTATGCTGACCTGGGAAGGAGGTCAGAGTAGACAGGAGGTGAGAAGGGCCCACCCATGCTAACTCAGTCCCCCACTTTAGATGCATTATAAGAAGGTCCCCCCTTTTACGTGTGTATGTGTGTTTGTGTGTGTGTGTGAACACCTCCCGTTGTCCCTCAGCAGAATACCTTTCCACTGTCATGGAACAGTGCATGTGTAAACCCTGCTATCACCTATGTCCTCAGCCCCACACAGAGCCAGAAGTGCAGGCACTCGGTAGCTGCCACTGTGTCCCAGGAACAAGTGGGCGGGGGGCCTCAGGGCTGTGGACATGTGGTGTGTTGGCTCCCGGGGGCCACTGGGCAACACTGTCAGCACGAGGTTCTCAGCAGCGAGAGCTGAACATTGGATTGCCCCCTCTGCTCTCAAACGCCCAGCTGAAAGAAATAGGTGGACTCCAGCAATTCCCAGTGCCCTACACACATACCCTTGGATGCGGCATCCCCATTTCTGGGAATTTACCCTACAGCTGTATACTTGGACACACGAGCAATGAGGGGATGAACGAGACTCTTCATTGCGGGTATTGGGAAACAACCTGCATGCCCAAAAGAGGACAAGGCAAGGTGTAGGGGGAGAGGGGGCCGAGCTTGTCATCTCAGCTACTTGGGAAGCTGAGGCAGAAGGATGTGACCTTGAGGCTGGCCTGGGCAACAGAGTGAGATCATCTCCAAACTAATCATTGAACAAAGGCTCGGCCATGTTGGCACAGGGAGTAGGGTGCTGCTCTGCAATGCTGGAGAACAATGAGCATCGCAGTTCAGATCCTGCATCTACCTGAAACATACGGGGCATGCGTGTGCGCCCGGCATCCCGATGGCTGGAAGGCTGGAGGGGATCAAGCGTGATGAGGCCATACTGAGGGTGCTTGCTTCTCTTTCATGGAAGAAATACATTTAAAAAAAAAAAAAGAGGATGGGACCAATGATCATGTATTCATACAATGAAATATCTTTTTTTTTTTTTTTTTGGAAGAGGTTTTTGCTATAGGGCACGTGTACTCGCCAGTCAGAAACAGAGAGACAGAAAGTGAGAAATCACCCCCAGGGGCAATGGCCACACCACAATCCCTTCTTCTCCATTCCCCTCTAGAAATCTTGGGCACGCACACACATGCGCATAAGTTTAAGCCACCGGGTCCGGGACGCTAACTGCGGTCGACTACGTGGAAGTTCAGCAACATAGCGATTACGCTAACTGCTGGTCCCAATACAATGAAATATTAAAACAGTCATAAAGAATGAGAAAGCACTTTACATACTAAGATGGAAAAATCTCAAAGACAGTTAAGTAAAAAACACAACTGGGATGAAGAACCTCATGTATGACATGCAACTATCTATAAATAAGAGCAGAAATGGAACACAGGTACTTGCCTGCGTGTGCGTCAAGTACCAGGACACACAAAACGCAGAGTGTATGGTCACTTCTATAAGAGCTACTGGGTGGCTGGGGTCAAAGGTGGGAGAGAGACTTCTATCTGCATACATTTTTTTGGGGGGAAGAGGTTTTTCAACTTGGAGAGGTTTTCGCTACAGGGCGCATGCTCTCGCCAGACAGAGACAGAGAGACAGAGAGACAGAAAGCGAGAAATCACCCCCCAGCGGGGATGGTCACACCGCAATCCCTTCTCCTCCATTCTCCTCTCGGGATCTTGGGCACGCACGCACACGCGCCCGGCGTGAGTTTTTTAAGCCACCGGGTCTGGGACGCAAACCGCGGTCGACTACGTGGGAGTCCAGCGACATAGCCATTACGCTAAATGCTGGTTCCCGGGTGAAGAGGTTTTTGCTATAGAGAGTGTGTGCTCTCCAGAGAAGCAGAAAGCGAGAAATCACCCCTTGTGGGAAAACAGCCTTGCCACAATCCCTTCTCCATTCTCCTTTCAAGATTTTGGGCATGCATACACACACACGTGCCCAGCGTGAGTCTGAAGCCACTGGGTCCAGGACTCAAACTGCCATCGGCCGCGTGGGAATTCAGTGATATAACCACTATGTTATCTGCTGGTTCCTCCACATACCTTTTTAATTTCAAACCATTTTTGTTTGTTTGCTTATTTTCTTTAATTGTCAGAGGGCAAATGTGCTCACTGGAGAAAGAGACAGAGCACCCCTAAAAGGGTCAGGCAGGGTATGGTGGTAAAGGCTGCTGGATTCCACATGGCCCATTTTGTGGTTTGAATCCTAGACCTGGTGGCTTAAAAGACATACCAGGTATGGACGCATGTATGCCCCAAACCCCAAGAGGAGAATGAAGGAAAAGGGACTGAAGTGTGACCAACCCCCCTGGGGGTGATTTCTCATTTTTACTCTCTCTCTAGTGAGCAAATGTGCTTTAAAGAAAAAAAAAAAAAAGAGGAAAAAAAACACCTCCCCATGGGGTGTGGTCATGCCGCAACCCTTTCTCTTCCGTCTTTCCATCCTGTTGGGACTTTGGACACATAGGCCCAGCACATTTTTCAAGTCCCTGGGACCAGGATTCAAACCATGGCTGGCCATGTGGGGTCCAGTTCTTTTAATCACTAGGCCATGGGACTGGCCCCAAACCATTTTCTAAAAATGGAAAATAACATTCCTGAGAGCCTCCAGGGACAAATGCTGACATTGGCCTGGCCCCAGGTTGACTGGATGGCTTTTTGAGGATCAAGACTCTATCCTTCTGCCCACATCCTGAGGGCTTTCCATCCGTCCAGTGGGAGCCAGCCCCTGCACTACGTGAACACTTCTACTTGGGGAGGGCACAGAACAGGACTAAGGCAAGAGCTACTGTCTACTTGTGAACTAAAAAGCCTCAGTTCTACGTCTCGAGTGGGGCCCACCTCCGTGGGTGGTCACCTGTCCTGCCTTCATCTTTTCATCTTCTAATTTGCCTTTGGGACTTCATTCCTGTGTCTCTTGGTCCTTGTGACCTGGTGACTGGGCCCCGTCAGTCATTCTGACTCTAGGACAGGCATGTGATTCCAACAGGTCAGTAAGCCTGAATTCTTGGGGTTTCTGATACCATGCCTGGGAAAGCAAGCTCTCTCTTTGCTGAGTTTGCAGCTGGCGACTTTGCTAAGCTTGGAATTGTCAGAAAAACAAAGCCAACATCCGAGTCCCTTTTTGTCTTAAGCCAGAGGTCAGTCCTGCGGCCTAGTGGATAAGGGTGCTGGATCCCATGGGGCTGACCATGATCTGAGTCCCAACCCTGGCAGCTTGAAAAACATGTTGAGCATGTGCATGTGTGTGTTGGGAATTCAACAGGGCCCTGCCCCATTGGTGGGTGATTCCTGTCCCCCAGAGCACATGCCTTCCAGTAAGTAAAAACAGCAAGTGCAAATCTCTAAAGATTTCCTTATCAAACTTGAGGGCTGGCAGATGGCACGGTGGTTAAGGACACTAGACTCTCACATGGCTGACTGCAGTTTGAATCCTGGACCTGGCGGCTTGCTTTTTCACGTGCTTTTTTGTGTCTGCTCTCTCTCTCTGTCTTACTCTCACTTTGTCTTTCTCTGATCAAATTATAAATAAATAAATAAATAAAGTTAAATAAGATAATTCTTAAAAACAAACAAACAAACAAACAAACAAAAAATCAAAAAAAACCCTGGAGGGCCATGGGACCAGCAGATGGCATTGATGGTTACGTCACTAGACTCCCACATAGTCGACTGCAGTTTAAATCCTGAATCCGGTGGCTTAAAACTCACACCAGGTATGTGTGCATGCGTGCCCAAGATCCTGAGAGGAGAATGGAGAAGGGATTGTGGCGTGGCCATCCCCCCGGGGGGTGATTTATTGCTTTCTGTCTCTCTGTCTATCTCTGTGGTGAGCACAGGCGCCCTATAGCGAACTCTAAAAAACAAAAAACAAACAAAAAAAACCTGGAGGGCCATGATTGTTTTTGGTTGCGACTCACTTTCTTAGGTGGCGTGGGGATGGGGGGCTCCCCAAGTGAAGCACTGACACGCGGCACAGGAGGCAGCCCATTCTGACAACAGGCTACCCTGGCCGCACGTGGCAGAGGCTGGAGATGGGCTTTCCTGCCATTCGGGCAGCGGTGTGCGCAGGCCGAGCACAGTGCTGGTACATACCTGTAGGAGACGTTATCAGTGCAGGGGTTGTGGACGCGGACGATGATGAAGACGTGCTGAAAGTGTGAGCGGATGTTCTTGGGGGTGAAAGGCAGTGCTCCGGGCTCCTGGAAGATGATAGTCACGATGTCGTTCCCTATGTGCCTCTTCCTTAGTAGCTGAAAAATGGGAAGAGTGGGGAGAGAAAAGTGTCACAGGTTGGCTAGGAGGATCCTGCATGGACCATCTCAACAGCTGCTCACTGTCCCCATTCCCATCACTCCCACTGTCTGTTCCCCACGTGCAGCCAGAGGGGCCTGTGGAAACCTGAGCTAGGTAGTGTCTCTCCTCTGCTCAGAGCCCTTCCATAGCTCCTCTTGCTCAGCCAAAAGCACCCAGGCCCTGGCCATGGCTTCTCGGACATTTCCCAAGCCCCCCTCACTCACTCTGCTCCAGCCAACCAGCCTCCTGCTGGTCCCCAAACACAGCATAAACGTTCTTTCCTGCAGGCCTCTGTGCTGGCCGTTCCCTCTGCCTGAACCATCCCTCCCCCAGATGTCCACATGGCTTCCTTCCTCGTCTCTCCAGGGTTTTGCTGAAATGTCACCCTCCCAGAGAGGTCTTTGCTGACTTATCCAAGATCCACCCAGCCCCCAGCACTCCCCCAGCACTCTGGCCCCACGACTTAACATTTATCAACTCCCTGCATCCAATGGCTTTTCCCTCTTCCTTCTGCTCCCTGCCTGTGTCTTCCCAGTGGAGGGTCAGCTCCAGGAGAACAGAACGCCTGTTCACGTCTGTTGTACTCGCAGAACTATTGGGTTGTTGGAAAAGTTACGATGTATTTGTCTATGTGAAAATGGATCATGACTTTTCTGACGACCCAATAGCAGTGGCTGGCACACAGGGGCTACTCAATAATATCTGCTGAAGGAGAGCATAGGCCAGGGCCATACTCACCAACAATGGCAGAGTCGGACCAGAAACTGCCGACAGGGCCAGTTCTAGGCCACTGCCTAGCCTGCCCCAGATGTCTGAGTTGGGAAGGTTGGGCCAGCTGTGGCTTCGGTGTGGCCTAAGGGAGCTATGTCTCCTCTCCTTTGTCTGCCAGGGTTTAAGGAAGATCTATAATCTTTGTAGGTAATGACGTGCTCATAGCATTCTGCTTATTTGCCAAGATTATATTGTTCTCATTTATACAAGCTTAGTCTTCATGTAAGTGTTAAGGAATCCATGTTGGTAATATGGGATCTAGACGAGAGACCTCTGTAGCTCTAAACGGGGTGGGTCATGGCGTAAAATTGGTACGCACTAGCAGCTCAACTCTGACCATTAAACTCTTAGTTCTTTATGTGTGTGTGTGTGTTTATTTTTATCTTTATTTTGCTAGAGTGGCACATGTGCTAAGGAAACGTGAGAAAGCACCCCCCATGAGGGATGGCCACACTGCAATCCCTTCTCCATTTTTTCTTTCAGGGCTCTGGGCACAAACCCAGTATGTTTTTTCAAGCTGCCAGGTCTAGTACTCAAACTGCGCAGTCAGGCATGTGGGATCTAGTTACCTTAACCACCATGCTGCTAGCTAGCCCATTTTCGTTCTTTCTTTCCTTCTTTCTTTTTCTTTTTCTTTTCTTTCTTTCTTTCTTTCTTTCTTTCTTTCTTTCTTTCTTTCTTTCTTTCTTTGCTATGGACACAAGCACTCATTGGAGAGAGACAGAGAGACTGAGGGGGGAAAGTGAGAAATCATCACGTCCCATCTCAATCCCTTCTCCTATAATCTCCTCTGGGGATTTTGGGCATGCACAGGTGTCCAGTGTGTTTCTCAAGCTACCAGGTCCAGGATGCAAACTGCACAGCTGGCCACATGGGATCCAGCTGCCTTAACCACCATGCCACCTGGGTAGGCCACCTGGCTGGCCCATTTTTTTTTTAAAGAATTATTTAATTTGGGACCAGCAGTTAGCGTAATGGCTATGTTGCTGATCTCCCATGTAGCCAACCGCGGTTTGAGTCTCGGACACGGTGGCTTAAACTCATGTCCCAACGTGTGCATGCGTGCCCAAGATCCCGAGAAGAGAGTGGAGGAGAGGGGATTGCGACGTGGCCATCCTCCCTGGCTGATAGTGACATGTGCCATTGGCAAAGACCTTAAAAAAAAAAAAAAAAAAAAAAAAAAAAAAGAATTATTTAATTAAATTTATTTATTCATTTATTTTAATTTGACCAGAGAGAGAGACACAGAGAGAGAAAGAGAGCCGGGGAGAGGGAAGCAAGCCACCAGGACCAGGACTCGAACCATGTGAGAGTGTTCAGTGCCTTAACCACCATGCTACCTGCTGGTCCCCATGGCTGGCCCATTTTATATGTGTTTTTAAGAGCATTAAACTAAACTGCTAGATAAAGTACCTGCTTACTATGGGTGATCCTATATTAGACATTTTACTCCACATCTTAAACTAGCAATCTCATTTAATCTTCCCTACCATCCAGCATTAACTCATTTTATCCCCTTTTACAGATGAGAAAACTTAAGCTTACCCAAGTTAGATGATTTGCCCTAAGTCATGCAGCAATGGAAGGAAAGAGTCAGGATGCTAACCCCCTTCTACTGGACTGTTTGAGCTACGCTTTTCACCTCCACGCCTCCCAAACACTCGGGAATCGGCCCCATTCCCTAGGAGCCTTCTGTGTGTCAGGCCTGCCTCATGCTGTGGTTTCAGGCATGAGCGCCTGGATTTTCTCAGTGATCCCAACACAGGTACTATCATTCTGCTCATTTTCCAGAGAGCGGTAAACACTTTCCTAAGATCATAGGGCTAAGAAATGGCAAAGAAAGAACTCAGACTCAGGCTTGATTCTGAAACTAATGCTCTTTTTTTTTTGTTTGTTTATTTAAATTTTGCCGGAGGGTGTGTGCGTCTGCCAGAGGGAGTGAAGAGGGAGGGGAAAGCACTCCACAATGGGGCACAGTCACACTGCAAACCCTTCTCCTCCATCCTCCATCCTGTTGGGGCTTTGGGAATGTACACACGCATGCCTGAATGTGTTTCAAGGCTCTGGGGCTGGGATTTGGATAGTGTAGTCAGCCATGTTGGAGCTAGCTACTTTAACCAGTAGGCCAGGGGATTGGCCCACCAGTGCTCTTCATAGCATGCTATTAGGTTAGCCTTGTGAAATCATTAATATCTGATATCCTAAGTTGCCAGCACTTGGTGGGGCTTATCTGTTAGAAAGGAGGAGTGCTGCTACCCAGGTCCGGGCAGCATGACGTGTCCAGGACAGGAGCTGGATCACGCTGCCATGGCCGCCTCTCAGCAGTGGGTGTCTGCTTTGTTGCCTACCCAGTGGCCCTTCCTTCTCTGGTAGCCACACCCAGCCCTTTGGGAAAGTATCTCCCTGACCACATTCTGGGTCGAGCTGACTTGCTTGTTCTCGCTGGTGGTGGACATGTGTCTCAGGCTTGGCTGAGCAGTGTGTTCTAATCCTAAAGACCATCTGAGGGACTGGCATGGGGATGGCTCAACCAGATTTAGCCCCAACACATTCCTGGGGCGATTGGAACAGCTTTCCTCCTCCTGGGGTGGCTAAGTTGGCCAGAGGTGGGCCTAGGGCTGCTAGGGGCATCTTTGGCACTGCTTGGGAAGGCCTATGAATAAAGCCACTACAAAGCCAACCGGGGTGAGAAATGGACAGGATTCCTAATACTGTTTCAGCCCCTGGATCCAGCCATACCAAAGGCCAGCACTCTCTCAGAATCTTAGCATTATATAATCCAGTAACTTGAATTTTTACTTAGGCCGGTTGGTTTGGTTTGAGTTTCTGATAGTTGCAGTCAAAATGATGTTGGTTGAATCACTGTTCCTTTTCATAAGACCAGTGATGACTCAAGACCAGGGAGAGGAATGGGGGCAGTAAGAGGTAAGCAGGGTGGCCAAGGAACAGCAAGAGGAACTGTTCTCAGGCAGACTTCACACCACCCTGGCTTTGTCTCTAACCCCCAGCAGAAGCAACCACAGTACAGAGGGTCTCCAAGGCCAAAGGCCTCCATCTGATCCACAGGATGGTATCAGGAGAGTCAATGCCAGGCGGGCAGCCAGCCAACAGGCACCGGGAAGGAGAATGCCCTGAGGCTCAGCTGTGCGTCACCTGGAAACCACTCACCTGCTGCCTGTTGTTGGGGGTGTAGGGGAGCAGGGTGGAGACGTGGAACATGATCTCGTAGTCCTGGTACGTTGTGTAGAGGGAGTGGGTTCCCGTGGAGTCGGCTGCACAGAAACATCGGTTAGTACCACATTTCTAAAACCTCTGGGTCTCTGCCATATCCCACATACCATCTGTGCGAGTTTTTAACTTGATGCTTTTACTTCAATCCACTCTTGCAAATGAAATAAATTTAGAGAAAATGGAAAACTCACATTATACACCCACCAGATTGATGAAAATGAAAAAGTCTGACAGTACCAAAGGTTGGTGAGGATGTGGGGCCGTCGCAACCCTTCCTGTGGCTGGCCCGGGGTATAAACTGACACAGCCAACTTTG